CAGCAGGCTTGCCAGCCCATGGAGCAAGAAGGCTGAGTGCCTTTGGACAGGAGGCTTGCTGGCAGTGTGGAGTACACCTATGTACAGAGCTAAAGGAGGTTTGTACCACTTGCCCAAGCAGAACAGAAGCCAGGCCAAGAGGCAGACCAAAAAAGAGGCATGCTTGTGGACCTGGCAGAGGGGAGCCTGTCTTGATGGAAGAATTGTATCCCGAGCACGTTCCTGAACGTGAATTGCAGCCCTTTACTTTCCCTGCAGCAGTATATTGACAGAGAACTTCCAGAAATGCAAGCTGGCTTCAGAAGCGGACACGGAACAAGGAATATCATTGCTGATGTCAGATGGATCTTGGCTGAAGACAAAGAACACCAGAAAGATGTTTACTTGTGTTTTATTGACTACGCAAAAGCATTCAGTTTGGTGGATCATAACAAATTATGGGTAACATTGAGAAGAATGGGAATTCCAGAACACTTAATTGTGCTCATGAGGAAACTGTACATAGACTAGGAGGCTGTCGTTTGAACAGCACAAGAGGATACTGCATGGTTTAAAATCAGGAAGGGAGTGTGTCAGGGTTGTATTCTTTCCCCATACTTATTCAGTCTATATGCTGAGCAACAAATCCGGGAAGCTGGACTATACGAAGCAGAATGTGGCATCAGGATTGGAGGAAGACTCATTAACAGCCTGCGATACGCAGACGACACAATTTGCTTGCTGAAAGGGAGGGTGACTTGCAGCCCTTACTGATGAAGACTGAAGAGTACAGTCTGCAGTATGGATTACACCTCAATACAAAGAAAACAAAACTCCTCACAACTGGACCAATATACAGAATCACGTTAGATGGAGAAAAGATTGAAGTTGTCAAAGACTTCATATTGCTTGGTTCTACAATCAACACCAATGGAAGCAGCAGTCAAGACATCAGAAGACATTGCATTGGGCCAATCTGCTGCAAAAAAAACTCTTTGAAGTGCTGAGGAGCAAAGATGTCTCCTTGAAGACTAAGGTGCACCTAATCTAAACCATGGTATTTTCAATTGTCTCTTATGAATGTAAGAACTGAATAAGGAAGACTGAAGAAGAGTTGATGCTTTTGAGTTGTGCTGGTGAAGAATGCTGAGAGTACCGTGGACTGCTAAAAGAAGTAACAAATCTGTCCTGGACGAAGTACAGCTGGAATGCTCCTTGGAAGTGAGAATGGCCAGACTTTGTCTCACCTATTTTGGTCATGTTGTCAGAAGGAACCATTCCCTGGAGAAGGATGTCGTGCTTGGTAAAGTGGAGGGTCAACGAAGAATAGGAAGACCCTCAATGAGATGGATTTACACAGTGGCTGCAGCGATGGGCTCAGGTATAGCAGGGATTGTGGGGCTGGCACGGGACTGGGCAGTGTTTCGTTCTGTTGTACACAGGGTTGCTATGAGTCGGAGACGGCTTGACAACACCTGACAACAACAAAACTTCCCTAATAAACCCCATAACTGTGAACATTGTGAGTTCTATGTGGCCACTGGAATGAATTATCAAACCCAGCAGAGTAGAGTGCTGGGGGAGGGTGTCAGAATTGGTCAAAAGAGTTAGAGGGGGTGGCATGTCTGTCCTCACAGGAAGCACCCTTGGGTTGATGCTGCTGACGGTGGTTCTAGCTCCCACTCAGGAAGTTAGAGAAGTTCAGATGCTGCCGCCATCACGCCATTTTGCAGGTAGAGTCAGAATTCGAATGCATGGCCGTGTGGTTGTGGTGTCCACACTCCTGCTGTCTGACACAGAACCAAACACATTCGAGGAGCTTAACTTGCTGAATGACTGTGACGTTATGTGTGTTGGGGGCTTCCTGAAGCCGGCGGCTTTGAGGGTAGGGGGATTCCCAAGGGGTCCATGTCCAGGAGGCCCAGGAAGTAGGTCTATGAGGTCATGTGTGCCTGGGGGGTGTGTGGAGGCTTTGGAACCTGGCCAGGTTCTAAATTCAGGAAGCCCCCTTGCTCACCATGAACTCTTCAAGCTCCTTTCACCCAGGCCTAAGACCAGGGCTGTGTAGTAACCATGAGGGAGAGCTCACCACCAGTGCCCAGCAGTGTTTGGAGTTGGTCGGGGTCCAAGCCATAATCTGTAGTAATGATAGTAGTCTGCAGCCATTGAATCAATTCCAACTCACAGCGCCCCTAGAGGACAGAGCAGAACTGCCCCATAGGGTTTTTAAAGCTGTCTGTCATCTTTATGGAAAAGGATTGCTAGGTCTTTTCTTTCATGGAGCTGGTGGTTAGAGCCAGGCTCTTAACCACTGTGAGACCAGGGCGTCTTATAAGAATAGTAGTAGTATTTCCCTCCCTCCCTTGCACTGCCGGCAAGTTGGGACTCATAGCGACCCCTCCTGGGGTTTCCGAGGTGGTATCACTACAGAAGCAGATTGCCCAACCTCCTTCCAAGGAGTGGCTGGTGGGTTTGAACCGCCAGCCTTCTGGTTAGCAGTCAAATGCCTTAGGCACCACACCACCAGAGCTAGTAGCCCTATTAGTAGTTAACCTTTCTTAAGGGTCTGTTGTTAAGGAGCCTTGGTGGCACAAGCATTAAGTGCTTGACTGTTAACTGGATGGTTGGTGGTTTGAGCCCACCCAACGGCTCCTCAGGGCTCCTCAGGAGAAAGCCTTGGGGATCTGCTCCCCTAAAGATGACAGTCTAGGAACCCCATGGGGCAGCTCTACTCTGTCATGTGGGGTTGCTCTCAGTAGACATTGACTCAATGGTACCTAACAACAACCTGTTGCTATTGTTGTCACTTGTCATCCAGTCAATTCTGACTCCTGGCAACCACGTGTGTGCCGAGTAGAACTGCCCCCTAAGGCTTCCTAGGCTAGGACCTTTCAAACGCACATCACCAGGCCTGACTTCCGAGGCACAACTTTTCCAAGTGGTTGACAGTGCTAGCCGGGCACCATCTAGTTTTCCTGGTCTCAGGGTCACCACGCAGGCTGAGGTTCTCATGGTCCACTAGTCCCTTGGACTAATCATTTCTATGTGTCTTTGGTTTTGTTCATTCTTCTTTGCTCGGGAGGAGAGAGTCACTGTTGCATCTAGATGGTGGCTTGTAAGCATTCAAGACCCCACTTGCTACTCACCAAAGTAGGATGTAGAACAATGTTTTTATGTAACGTGTTGTGTCAATTGAGCTTGATGTCCTCCTCCCCCCACCCCCACGACCATCGTCCCAAGCTGAACTGGGAACTTTTTTTTAATTTAATTTATTTATTTTTATTGTGATTTTGGTGAAAGTTTACAGAGCAAATTCACTTTCCATACAGCAGTTCGCATACACTTTGTCTCACGACATTGACCACAATTTACCACAATGCAACAGCTCCCCTCCCACTTCTTCCCGATAATGGCCTCTTCCCTGTGTCCATCCCTCCAAGCCCTCCTGCCCCCTAAGTTGTCTCCTGGTGCATAAGCAGCCCTTCTTTCTCCCATGATTATTCTCTCCAAGGAGTGTTATCTACCTCAGGTAAATGTTAACTCATATGCCTATCTTTTGCTTGGCTGGAAGCCACAGGTGTGGGTTCAATTCCAGAGCTGATGGGCAGGTAGGGGCCATAGTCTCAGTGTTTCCACCTGAACTGGGAACTTTTAAAAACAACTCCATCTCATTTAAATCTTAGATCCCAGCTTTATCAACGGAAGTCCAGGAACTGGAGTCCTTAGACGGACTAAAGACCCAACTAATGAGTGAAAGTGAGTTCTGGTAGTGCAGTGCCTAAGGCACCTGACTGCTAACCAGAAGGTTGGCGGTTCAAACCCACCAGCCACTCCTTGGAAGGAAGGTTGGGCAAAGGAGAGGTCGCTGTGAGTTGGATAGGACTCAACGGCACATAACAACAACTAGGAGTGGGAGCTCTGGTAGCATAGTGGCTACGGCACTTGACTGCTAACCAGAAGGCTGGTGGTTCAAATCCACCAGCTACTCCTCGGAAGGAAGATGGGGCAATCTATTTCCGTAGTGAAACTGCCTCAGAAAACCAAGGAGGGGTCGCTATGAGTCGGTCCGACTCGACGGCAAACAACAACAACAGGAGTGAAGAGGAGGAGGTGATATGCAAATGAACCACACCCGACTCCCTTGTACTTTATTGTAGAGACCTTTGCGCCAGGTGAGGTTCTAAAAAGTTTAGACCCGCAGCCCAATTCCTTTGGCAGAAAAAAAGCTCCCTCCCAATGCCCCGCCCCTTCAGGCCCCGCCCCTGGACGTTGTATTTGTTAGTCGGCCTTTTACGGATACTCTATGGCTCCAGCCTCAGCCCCGCCCCCTGGTAGCAGGAAGGCTCAGAGAAGCTTCAGCCAATCGGCGCCCGCACTCCGCTCCCCGCCTTCTCAAGCCCCGCCCCCAACCTTAATCCAGGCAGCTTCCGCCAAGCGCGCTCAGAGCCACGCGGCGCGCCCGGGAGGCTCCCTCTTCTCCGACAGCCGCTACCTCCCAGGACCTCAGACCGCCGCCTTCTGCACGCAGGGGCCAGGAAACCTCTGAAACCCAAAAGCCTGGGCCCTCTGTTCCTGGAGCTCCGTTTTCCGGTCCTCAGACTCTAGGAGCCCCAACGCTCGGTTTCCAGGACCCAGGTGGCCTGGTTTCCCGCCTCCCGGATCTGCGCCACAGGATCTAGCCTTTTGCAAATCTCTGCCATTTGGATCAAGGACCCCAAGTCCCAGCCTGAAAAACTCCTGTATTTCCAACTCCCAGGGCGCTCCCGATTCCCATCTCTCGGGTTCCTGATACTTCTCTTCCCAACCTGAAGGAGCAGAGGAACCCCGACCGTCAACCCATCGAGCTCAGACACCCAGCTTTCCGGAGCCAGCGAACCCGGAGCTGCCAGCTGTAAGGAAACCACCCGCTCCAAAGTTCCAGCCTGCGGGCGCTGTGCCCCAAATCTCAGTTTAAGCAACCTCGGCGTCCTAGGAAGGCACCTCAAGCTCCCCCAGCTTCCAGGCGACAAGGAGCCCCGGTGCTTCTCATCATGACGGCCGATGCTCCCAGGGGAAACTCCAAGGGGTTCGCCGCGGCGATGGAGCCCATGGCGAACGGTGTCTCGACGTTGGTCCCTATGGAGGACAAAGATGAGGCGGTCGGCGGCTGCTGCCGTTCCCGGGACCAGGTGCGTCGCTGCCTTCGCGCCAACTTGCTGGTGCTGTTCACGGTGATGGCCGTGGTAGCGGGCGTGGTGCTGGGGCTGGGGGTGTCCTGGGCCGGCGGCAAGCTCGCGCTGGGCCCCGCGCGCCTGGAGGCCTTCGCCTTCCCGGGCGAGCTGCTGCTGCGTCTGCTGAAGATGATCATCCTGCCGCTGGTGGTGTGCAGCCTGGTGGGCGGCGCCGCCAGCCTGGACCCGAGCGCGCTCGGCCGCCTGGGCTCCTGGGCGCTGCTCTTTTTCCTGGTCACCACGCTGCTGGCCTCGGCGCTTGGCGTGGGCTTGGCGCTGGTGCTGCAGCCAGGCGCTGCCGTTGTGCCCATCAACGTCTCGGTCCCGGCCCTGGACGCTGGCGAAGCGGCCCCCAGCAAGGAGGTGTTGGACTCCTTCCTGGATCTTCTGAGGTCAGCGCCCGCCTGCCCACTGGGGGGTGGGGGGGCCCGCAGATCCGCGGCTTGGGGTTGGCGGGAATGGCCATGTGGTTGGGAGCAGTGCTTTGGGACCCCCTGAACAGAGACATTCCCGGGTTCTGGGGCGGGAGGGTGGTCTCTCTGGTCCCTTGAATGTGGGGTACAGAGGGTGAGGACCGACTACGGGTTGGGGGGGTGTTCTAAATTTAGGACCTGGATGCATGAGAGATTCCCAACATGTGTTTGATAGGCTAAGGGGGCTCACGGAGGGAGAAAGAAGAGAGTACTGTTTTGGGGTCTTTGGGGATCCTATGAGAGGGAGGGGTCCCTGAGGGGAACTTCTTGGGAGAGGATCTTTGGACACCCAAGGGCCCCAGGATGGGGCTCTGAATAAAGATTTGCAGCCAGGACTCCAGGGTCCTAGGGAGCCCCTGGAGGACTCCAAGATCCAAGCAAACCCCTTCCAGGCCCTCCTCCCAGCCCCAGGCTCCCCAGGCCACGTGTCACTGGCACACGCCAGGTTCTTTCCCCACACCTCCTCCCTTGCCTCGTTCAGCCAGGGCCTGGCAGTTTCCCCTTTACATCTTTCTGGCCCCTCCTGCCACAACCAGCTCCTTTCCATCGGTTTCCTCTCCGCAGGAGGCTGCCCTTCTGTCTCTGACCCCCCACCCCCTGGCCGTCGCCCCCTTTGAGGAGGCAGACAGACCGTCGGGTCCACATGGCCCTGCCATCCGGACCCGCTGATTCAGTGTCTCCAGGTGGGAGACTTCCTAGAAGTGGGGGCCAGCTAGGGGAAGGAAGTGATGAGTCACGGAGGAGGGTTCCCCGGCCTCTGGGGTGACAGCATGTGCTGAGATGACTGAAGGAGACATGATGTCCAGAAGTTGTCTAGCACCTCTGGCTGGAGGAGATTAGCTGGGTCCCAGCCCAGCCGCGGCTGGGTGGGTGCCGGCGATCTGTAGGTGGGCACACCCTCTCCATGGCTGTTTACACATGAGCTTCCCCTGCATGCAAAAAAAGCTGTTATTCGCCCATGGCCTGACACGCAGAGACTTGGCTGTGACCTCTCACATGGCTACACAACCTTACAACCAAGTGACACAGCCATATGTAGCTGGAGGCAGGCACATGGACACTCAGCCACGGCTGTCGCATCTCATACAGCCACACAATCTGCTAACCAGCTGAACACAGCCAATCTTTCAACCAAGGGACATACAGCTCCACATATCTGGACATGGCCAGACAACCTTGTAACTAAGTGACGCACAGCTACACACAGCTAGCTCGACACAGGCACGTAGAAACACTTGGCCACAGTTGTTATTCCTTGTACAACCACATTACGTTATCCCAGGTGACATATGGACCACACACAGAGATACTCGACCTCGGCTGTAATAGCCACGTAGCCTTACACCAGCTGTCACACACATGCCAGTGTGTACGCACACCCTTCTAGTACAAACAAGCACTCAGTGACCTCTCCAGTCATGCCAGTGTTCAGCATTACAATACACACACACTCTACGAGGCCACACGCCAACATGCTCCCATAGAATTGCCTGCTACCATGGCACATGACCTGGTCACCCACCGACACTGTCCCACACAGCCAAATGCTAACACACCCCCAGCCAGACCCCAACCCCTGACAAACTAAATACTGACCCACAGAAATAGCGGTATGCCCCGCCTCACTGGTGAGAGGGAGTATAAGTAATGGTCAGGATTATGGAACCAGCCTGACGGGGTTCAATTCCCAGCCCTGCCACTTCCTAGCTGCTTCATCTCCTTTCCGTGCCTCAGTTTCTTGTTTGTCAAATGCAAATAGCTGTGCTGATCCCAAAGGGCTGTTGTGAGGGTGGTTCCATGCTGTCGAGTTGAGCCCTAGCTCACGGTGACCCGCCGTGTGACAGAGTAGAACTGAACCCCACAGGGTTGTCAACAGCTGTTTATTTAGAAGTTGATCGCCAGTTGGTGTGTGTGGATTTGAACCTCCAACCTCTCAGTTAGTGGCCGAGTTTGGGTAGCGGCCAAGTTCATTGACAGTATGCACCCCCCAGGAACTCCTGTGGTGACGATTAAATGAGTTAGTTTACATAAAGCGCTGATTGGGGGAACCCCCGTATGCAGAACGTGCTGCAGACATGTTAGGTGTCGTTTTTAATGTCACCTTGAGACACACGAGGCCACTGATGGACACCATCACACAAGAACGGCCACGTGAGTGCACACTCACCAAACGCACAGCCATCCCGGCAGCCTCTCCTGGTTGCTCACTGCCCCCACGCCCGCCAGCCTACCTGCCAGTTCCCAGGGCCCAGCCCCCTTCTCAGCCCTCCCAGCCTCTAGCTCTCTGCCCTGTAGAAGGAAGTGGCTGATGCAAGGCACCCAGTGTATTAAGTTTGCCTTGTGGGGTGGAGCTGAGGCCCCAAGTGACCCTGCCCCAGCCTGCCTTGGGAAGCCAGCATTCCTGCCCCCCACAACCCACAATCCCTCGGGGCGAGAATGCTGACCTCCTAGGGCAGAGACTGGCTCAGACTCCTCACGCCAGGCCCGGCTCTGGCAGGGGCACACATGGGAGCTGGATCGACATGCAACAGGGCCTCAAAGGTTTCCCTTCATCTACCAAAAGGCCAGCCCAGTCCCCTAAGCTCCCCCTACCCTGCTGCCTTCCCCCGACAGTGTCTGATAACCACCCCCCCCATATGTCTATCTCTACAGAAATATCTTCCCCTCCAACCTGGTGTCCGCAGCCTTCCGTTCAGTGAGTCCTCAGGGGTGTCCCGAGGGGTGGAGGGGGGTCAGGGAGGGAGAGAGCTGGTGCAGCCCTTGCTGCCTGATTTGGGATGGAACTGGGAAAAACGCAGGTGCCCACGTGTTTACGAGCGACCTTGGAGGGTTCTGGTGACCTGCAACCCAGCCCCTTCCCATCAAGAGCTAAGAATACAGGCTCAGAACCCTTGTGGAGTCTCCTAGCTGTGTGACCCTAGGCAAGTGCTTTGATGTCTCTGAGCCTCAGTTTCCACCTCTTGAAAATGGAGGCATTTAATAGTCGTACTTCAGCGGGGTTGCCAGCAGGGTGAGAAGACAGTGTGTTAAGGGATGCTTGGGGCAGGAAGGCAGGCTGTGACCTTAGTGGGCACCCGTAGGGGGTTGGGGTGGAACCTGTGTGATATCACTGCTGACTCGTCCCAATCCCCTCCCCCACAGTATACCACCACCTATGAAATGAAAGCTATTGGCGGAATCGAGAATGGCACCTTGGTGAAGGTGAGAGTGGGCAAGGGTAGTGGGGCCCCCTGTCCCTTGGTCCATTGCTCTGGTTCTGTTTTGTTCCCTCCACTTCCCTGAGGTCCCTGAGCGGTTTGCACTCCGATACTAACCCACCAAGCGGCACCACGGAAGAAAAGCCTGGTAATTAGCTTCTGTAAAGATCACAGTCAGAAAAAATCGTATGGAACAGTTTTAGTCTGTAACACACGGGGCGTTTGGTTTTGGGTCTACTCTCTTGATCTAAAATTTGGTATAGAATTTGATTTAAACTCTCCATGGGCCCTCCCCAATTTCTGTTTTTTTCTCTTTTTTTTTCCCCTGCTGTTGGATCATCTCTGTGCTTTGCTCTCTGTTCCCCTTCCTTTCTCGCTTCTTCCTTTTCATCTCTGGTATCCTCCCCGGTCCCCTCCCAACCACCCTCATTCTGGCAGCCAAAGGGGTCTTTCTATGGAAGATACTGAGACACTTTGTTTGTACAGGGCTGTCGTTGGAAGGCGTGGTGTCTAAGGCATTTGACCTGACCAGGAGGTTGAGGGTTCAAACCCACCAGCCGCTCTGCGGAAGGAAGACCAGGCAATCAGCTACCTTAAAGATTTACTGCCTCGAAACCCCAGTGGGGGTTGCTGCGAGTCAGAATCCACTCGGTGGTGGTGGGTTTGGTTTGATTGTTGGAAGGCACCCTGGTGGTGCAGTGCTTAAGCATTTGACTGGTAACTGAAATATTGGTGTTCACACCACCAGCTCTGAAGGCAAAAAGACCTGGCAGTCTGCTACTATACAGATTGCCCGTTGGCTTTGACTCGATTCCAACGCATAGCGATCCCATAGGACAGAGTAGAACTGCCCCATGGGGTTTCCAAGCCTGTGGTCTTTACAGAAGCACACTGCCTCATCTTTCTCCCCCAGAGAGTGGCTGATGGGTTTGAAGCGCGTAAAGATTACAGCCTAAGAAACTCAAGGGGGCGGTTCTGCGGGTCCACTCTGTCACGTGGGATCAGCGTTGAGTCCAGAAGCGACTCAAGGACACACAGCTGTTGTTGGTAGCTGTCTCGTTGATTCCAGCTCACGGTGACCTCGTACACACAGACTAGGACTGCTCCACAGGGTTTTCAGAAGGGCAGATCTAAGCCAGCCTCTCCTCTGCCCCAGAGCCCTGCCCTCAGGCTTTCTAGCGCCTGCAGGCTCCTCCCCCAGTTCATGAGGCCCTGTGAAGTCGGACCCCTGCCCGCCTACCCTGCCTCTCATGGGGGACCTCTCTTCTGAGTCATTCCATTCCAGCCATTCTTACTTAAAAATTTTTTTTTGCAGTGTTCCCTCCTTCCAAGCCATTCTGTTTGCTCCATCTAGAATCTTCTATCCCACCTCTTTTTCTGCTTCACCTTCCGACCCTCCAAGTTTCAGCTCAGATACTCCCTCCTCCAGGAAGTCCTCCCTGATTCTTCCCTCCCCACCCTTGGACCTGGACTGTGAGCCTAGGGCGAGCCCAGTCGGAGGGGCTGTCCTGTCAGGGCTGGGTCCCAGCCGTTCCCAGGCCAGGCCCTCAGGGGCAGTGACTGTGTGGGTCACGCAGGTTGACTGAATTCCCCTCTCTCACCCCACCGCCCTGCTCTGTTCCTGCCCGCAGGTGCCCTGGGGGGGTGAGGTGGAAGGCATGAACATTCTGGGCCTAGTGGTGTTTGCCATCGTCTTTGGCATTGCCCTGCGGAAACTGGGGCCTGAGGGCGAGCTGCTCATTCGTTTCTTCAACTCCTTCAATGATGCCACCATGGTGCTGGTCTCCTGGATCATGTGGTAGGTGGTGGGAGAGGGGGCTGGGGCGCAGGGTGGGAGGGCTAGCCAGAGGCAGGCAAGACATATCTGTGCACAGCGGGGCACCTTCCATCTGTTCCCTGGAGCCAGACGGCCTGGGTTCAAACGCAGCATCTACCATTTTCTGACTGTGTGGCCTCATGCAAGTGCCTCACCCTCTCTGTGCATCACTGTCCCCTCTGAAGTTGCTAGCACCATCGTCAAAAGATTATGCTGTTGGCTGTGTCATTGAGTCGACTCCACACAACAGGACGTAACGCTGTCCAGTCCTGCGCCATCCCTGGCATTGGCTGAAGACTGCCGCGATCCGTGGAGGGTTTCCGTTGCCTGATTTTTGGAAGTGGACCACCAGGCTTTTTTTTTTTTTTTTTCGTAGTCCCTCTTAGTCCGGAAGCCCCACTGAAACCTGTCCAGCATCCTAGCAACACGCAGGCCTCCATTGACAGGTGGTGACTGCACGTGAGCCGTTTTGGCCGAGAATCAAACCCAGGTCTCTCCCATGGAAGGCGAGGATGCTGTCAGTGGAACCTGGTTATAGTCAGGCACCAATGACAGTGGGACAGGGCCTGGCCTATAGCACCCCTACAACAAACAATAGTACCTAATACTAACCGTGTGCTTATTTCTATGAGTTAGGGCCACAGCCCAGGGCCCAAACTTGCCTCACCTGGCTGCACGGGCAGCTGGTGGGTGTTGCCTTTCTGCTGTAACTAAGGAGAAGGACAGGGTGGGGCAGGGATTCAGGAGGTGGCTATCCATGGTAACTCTATTCATTTCCCGTGACTGCAATAACATGACCCCAAACCACATGGCTTAAAACAATAGGAATTTATTCTGTCACGGTTCAAGGAGGCCAGAAATGTGAAGTTGCTAAAACAGCAAGGAGGCCACATGTTCTGACCTCCTCTAATCCCACAAGAGGAAGGCAGAATCACCATCAATAGCGCAGGGCCTATTCCTGCCAGGCCAGACATGCTGCCTCCCTCCAGCCCTTTCACCACAACCGTTCCTCCCAAAGCACCCACCACCTCTCTCCTGGGTTCG